AGTGAAAGTGAAAGTGACGTGACATGTGGCCAAGTATGGTGACCCATACTCTGAATTAGTGCTCTGCATTTATCCCATCCTAAGTGCACACACACAGCAGTGAACACACACACACCGTGAACACACACCCGGAGCAGTGGGCAGCCATTTTTTTGCTGCGGCGCCCGGGGAGCAGTTGGGGGTTCGGTGCCTTGCTCAAGGGCGCCTCAGTCGTGGTATTGAAGGTGGGAGAGAGTGCTGTACATTCACTCCCCCCACCTACAATCCCTGCCGGTACGAGACTCGAACCCGCAACCTTTGGGTTACGAGTCCGACTCTCTAACCATTAGGCCACGACTTCCCCTCGTTAAAGCATGCAAAGCATCCGGCCCGTGCACACTGGGCACATTTCTACATGTTGAATAGTATATACTGTGATAACAGCCTAGTTATCTACATTTTGAGTCTGTGTCAACTACTAAAAGATGCAGCATGAATCTGACAATACAGATATGGTGCTTTTGACTCTCTCAGTGGGACGTTGGACCGAGAAACACCGTCTCCAGCTGACCATCAGCCTGCTGAAGCTGCATGCATATGGAGGGTTATTTACATAAAGCAAACACAACATTTTTAAGGTGGGATCCTTCACCAAGACACCTAACCCTTTTGGCAATGACAAGTTGTTTAGTAGGTAACACTTTAGTATAGGGATCAATTCTCACTATCAACTAGTTGCTTATTAGCATGCCTATTAATACATATTGGCTGTTTATTAAAACTTATAAACAGTGTTGCCAAGTCTGTGGTTTTCCCGCAGAATTGGGCTACTTTAACACTGTTGCCGTGGGTTGTTTTTTATGTCCATGGGTTGAAGTGACCCCAATAACGTGATATTTATCCACTGGAAAGTAATTTTTACCAGGGGAACCCGCCAAAAAAAACCTTGTATTTTTTACCCCCCCCCCCGTAACGCAATTTTTAACGGGGGACCCCCTCGAAAAGTGATTGGGCTAGTTTTGAGCAGCAATTGGCTGGGTTTTGTTGTGAAAATTGGCAACCCTGCTTATAAAGCACATATTAATGCCTTACAGTGTGTTCACACCAGACGCGAATGTAATTATTCCTGCGAGTAGATTACATACACGAATGACGCGAATGACGAGAAATGCACGACGCGTTTGCCGCGAACGCACGATATTCGCCTCAATCGCGTCTTCCGCACAAGTTCAAAAATTTCAACTCAAGCAGAAAATTCGCATGACGCGTTCTCGCGCAAGCCAATCAGCGAAGAGTTTCTTGACACGTCCAGTTGAATCAGACAATAGAAGAGAGCATTATTGCAGCCGTCTGTTATTATATAGGTCTGGAGCATAGAAAACAATTAAAATCAGTTGTAGTGGTAGTTGTATTTTATTAGCATGGCTACAGATATGCTGCTATCAATAATAAAAATAATAGTAATATCAGTGTATATATACAGTAGTAAAATGTAACACACACATTAATACAGGATCCTAACGTTATTCATCCTCCTCTGGAAAAACATCCCGCGAGTAATCTAGAGCGAGTGACGCGATGCGCATATTCGCTTCGCGTCTGGTGTGAACACACCATTATTCTGCACGACCATATTCTACATCCCTAATTCTACCCAATACCTAAACTTAACAACTAGCATACTAGCTATTAATTAGCAGCATATTAGGAGTTTGTTGAGGCAAAAGTCATAGTTAATGGTTTGTTAATAGCAAGAATTGGACCTTAAAATAAAAGTGTGACCGTTTAGTAAAACAGTTAAGAAGTGCTCAAGGAGTGAAGCATAAACTCACCCATTGTAACCCTTGATGAGAATCTCAGATTACTACAGAGGACATAACCTGTAATAAGTGCACTGCATTGATGCATTCCCGCCATGTCGCAATTAGCATAATTACTAGATGACAACCCAGAAGTTTTACTCAAAGCCGTTCACGACCTCAGACCCAGAAATATGCATTACTATGACAACACTGTTAACACAAAAATGAATGTGTAATTTGAGTAATCAATAAACAAAACCACAATACAGCAAGTAACAGTGGCTATCCAAATGCCTTCATTATTGAACTTAGTCTAATAATGACATGTAGCTTATTGTTTTAGCTTATTTTGCCGGACTTTAGAGAATCTTTCAACTCTGTGCTCACTACATTATACTGCATTGTATGTCTTTCATTTATTAATTTTTTTTAGATAGACATTTAGCATGTTTGCTACAAACAACGTCTTGTTTATGTATTCCGTGGCGTGAGAAAGTGACATAAGCCAAAAATTGACGGTCAGACTGAAACCGATTTACAGAAATGCGATTTGAGTTTCAAAACACATACTGTATGAACGTAGCTTTAAATAGATTTGTAAAAATCAGATTTCACGTGATATTTTGCCATTCACACTTGCTAAATATGATCAGATTCCAATTGGATATGCATAAAAAAAAATCTGATTTGGACTTATGGTCTGAACAAGGCCCAAGTTGCAGCTGTCAGGTTATAAGTTGTGTCACAAGTTCTATGCAGAAGCGAATGTCAGAATCTCATAATTAACACACCTTTACTAATTGACAATATACTTACTTTTAAAAGAGTTAATAAGCATTTAAATTGCCTCCCTTTGGGTTAAAGCTGAAAAACCATAGAAACCAAAAGCATAAGTCCATAAACCACAGACTCCAAACAACTCCAGAATAATGACTGTGGTTTATGTTATGACATCACAACAGAGGTTGTGTTTTCAGCCCTGTCTCTTTCTGCAGGACAACTTCCCGAGTTAATCAGTATGGAGAGAGAGAGAGAGAGAGCACTTTAGTCCACATTAGAGAGGAGCAGAGAGGTACTTCAGCCTGACATCAACACACACGCGTGTGCAAACAACCCTCATCTTCCCATGACACAAGACAGAGTAAACAACTGCAGCTCTACAGTCAATATCATTTTAAACCATGAGCCAGAGATATGAAAGACATGCAAGATAAAACAAATTATGTATCAGATTAAGTAACAAATACCCAAAAGTAATTATTTCAATAACAGTGAAAATGCTGTGCACACTGACATTGACACTGTTCAGCTGTGCCATCGGTTTCTGTGGTGTAACATTATATATTTCATCTAAAGTCATTTTATAATTATTAAACTCAAGAGTTTTCCTGAGCTCATATCATTTGAGTGACTGTATGGAATACTTGTATGTATTTTTATTTGTCACATCAAATGAAATGCAAGAAACCTAATTTGATTAAAATGGTAAAACAAACTGGCAAGCGCATGCAACACCTAAAACGTATTTTTCCCCTCTTACTAATATTATAATGGTTACATAATACAGTACACATTGTAACCAAAAATATTTTTAAAAGATAAGTTAATTTTATCCCTTTGGAAAAAGAAGCACACTTTAGCATACTTTTTTTTTTTTTTTTAAGTATGAAGATAATATACTTAATGTAATAATATAGTTGCTCCTGATAGGCCTATCAACATGCTCACTGATTTATTTATTTTAGTGACCAGATACCTATTATATATATATATATATATATATATATACATATATAATACACTTCAACGCAAACTGAATTTAATGTTTCCAGACACTTTTTTGCATTCTATTTGTAATTAAATGTTATATAGTTTAAATACATTAATATAAAATACAATTATTTGAACATAAGCATGTTTTTTTTGACCCACTTAAGTAGAACTTAGGTGCATCTTTATATGTAATTTCATAATTACTTATTTTGTCTTTGAAATATATTTAAAGTGTACATTAAAATGTAAAATGTACTGCCAAGTATTTATGGTACACTAAAATATACTTTAATGTCATTGCAATTGAAACTTGTATGTCATGCATTTAAATATATTTCTACTTTTACATTTTCAATGATGAAGTTGCAATTTGGTACATTTAAAATATATTAACTTTAACTGTAAAATCAAATAACACATTACAGTTCAAATTAACATCTTTATACATGCTTTAGTATGTTAGTCAACACAGCAAAATCGGTGTACTTTAAAGAACAACTAATTATTATTAATACAATAATTTAAAATGTACTTTAAAGTAGAACTTTTAGTTTCACATTATTACAAAATACAATTTCACTTAAGTTTGTTAAACTGTCATGAACTTAAAGTACACTTAAGTGGCCTTTTCTAAAAAAAAAAAAAATTTTTTAATAAATATTCTGCTACACTTTATTTTAAGGTGTCCTTGTAACAATGTAATTAAGAACTGAGTAACATTAATTAACTACATGTACTATATGGTTAGGGTTAGGATTAGGGTTTGGCTTAGAAATACTTGCATGTAATTATGCATAATTTATTGTTATTATAATAGTAAGTACAAATATAACAAAATCAATATAAAGTGTTACCAAATACACTTTTAAGAGCTGAAGTACACTACAAGTTCACATTAAATTCAGTTGAGCACACTTCTTCACTTCAACAGATCGCATAGGTGAACCAGCTCAGTATATGTATACATCATATGTATAAAGCCTTTGTTGTGCCACAAACTTGCACTATGTACATTAGTTCTGCACTGACCAGGTCTAGAAGAGCGTCTGTGAAACCCACCTCCCACATGACAGCAGCAGCAGCATTTAGTGAGAATCCAGCCGCAGCAGGAGTGCACACCCTTATCACTCCTCATGACCGTTCAGAGATGCATGTCTCAACACAGAGAGATGTTGCTGGAGGACTGCACCCGCGCCAATGAGTAATTACTCTCATTCAGCCTGACTTTACAGAGAGAGAGAGAGGCGGAGCAATAGGACTCTCTCATGTTTCACTTTCAGACAAAGGCCACAGTCAGTTTGCTGGACGTGATAACATGAACCCATGACAATGTGTCCAGCTATAGTATGCTTACGGGGCACCACAGGGTTCGATACTCTCTCCGACTCTTTTCTCCCTTACTTCTCTGAACGCACTTTAAATGAGAAGCCAGTGAAAAAGGAAACACACATTCCCATGCAGATAACTTGAGCTGAACTTCTGAACTGGACAAGAGAGAAAAGACTCACTGATGCCTAAAGTTCATGTCGGAATGAGTGAAGATTACATGATACAGAATTACTGGTTATTGTTGTTGTTTGTGTGGCAGCAGGTTAAACAGTGTTATCAGGAGACTTGTCACCTGCTGTGTGACGCAGTACTCTGTCGCTGGAATGACAGGAATCAACTGCACAAAAAAAAAAAAAAAAACACTTTCCGTACATACCTGTTTTTTAAGTAATAAACAACACATTCAGGTCAGAGATTTAAAGAACTGATAACTGCATAAGAGTATAAACAGCCCTTATGTGCAGTAGCACCAAAATGCATTTAGACATGTAAACCACATGTGAATCATGTTGATAGTTAGTGTGATTGTCTACACCTGTGGATACTCTGCCAGGACACCTGTGTGAACTTGAGTAGAACTGACTTCATGCATCAACAAAGAATCAATCAATCAATTAATCAATCAATCAATCAATCAATCCCCAGTTAAAGGTCTGTGTGTCTGATTCCAGCTGGACATAAATCAGTCATTGTTGTAACTATAATAAAATGGTGTAGGACCATATATGAAAATTTGTAAAAGAGAAGTGTGCATAAGTGTATTGAATGTGCACTTGTAGTGTTCTCCAAATCTTAAAAAGTATATTTAAAAAAAAAAAAAAAAAATTATGAAATAAAAGACCGAAAAGAGAGTACACATTCATGACTGTATCATAAAATGCTAAAAGTGCACTTACAATGTTTTTTTTATACAAAGTTTATCACACTTTGCAATAACATGAAATTAAAACTTTGAGTCATTACATTTTAATAATCCATATAATTTTCAAAAGTATTAATGCAGGGCTGTACAGTGCGACATATATGTCACACGCGCTACGGAAAAACTGGTCTGTGCGATACCACTGTAGCACGCGTGCGATACAGTTCTGCATGTTCATAACAGCCGCTTAATAGTGTGAAGTGATTTTTGTTGTGCTTGTTTGTGTGTGTGAGATTAATTATACTTGGTAGTAAGGGGTGTGCGATATGACGATTTTTGATTGTGGACGATTAAAATGTCTCCACAATCTGCTTTTGAAGAAATATCGTTGTATTGTGCTACAGCGCACATTCTATCAGCTGCAGTTCTGGTGCCTCCCTCCGTCTCAATATAATGTACAATGCCATAAGCCACATGCATTCACATCAGTGGTTTCTCTTTCATTGCAAAAACACTTGAACGAGTTGTGTTCAACCAAGTCTCAGCCTTTCTCACACAGAACAACCTCCTGGACAGCAACCAATCTGGCTTCAGAAGTGGACATTCGACCGAGACTGCCTTATGTTCAACAGACGAAATAAATTAATTCAGGTTTAAAACAACTTGAGTAAATGATCTTATAAAAATGAAACAGAATTGAAAGACAGATGACAGAATTTTCATTTTTGGTGAACTATTCTTTTAATGTTAATAAAACAACAAAACACAGAAACAATCTGCTCACTGCTCTTGACTGATGAACTTATCATTAGTCAGTTGCTTTTAAAAAGGTATAATTGATGTATATAGTGTTATATTTTAATATTTGTTCATTCAATTTCTTCAATGTTACTGCTAAATGCTGTACCTGAAAAATGAAGCACTGTTTGTTTTATTTGTATATTATGTGTATTTGTAATGTATATCTTTGTTCTTATTTTGTAATAACAAAGATAAAATAATGACAAATATTTTTATCTTTGCTCACTTTCCCTAAATGTCTGCCATTGTTTTTTATTTGATATTTTGTTAAGGTGTAAGAGGTGTTATATTTCTGCACTCTTCCATTTTTAGCAAAATAAGAAAACTTTGTCTAAAAACAATTTTTGTGATGGTTTGCATTTTTTGTGCTCTGTATGGAACATCAATGCCTGTTTAAGTGATGAACTCCATTACTTGTGTTTGTTTTCAGACATGATAACAGACGTTTTATACTTGTGCTACAACGTTTTGGCCTGTGCTACAAAACTTTCAACCTCTGTAGCACCAGTGCTATGTGAAAAAAAAGTTAACGTACAGCCCTGTAATGTATAATTTAGTTTAGTTTAAATGCTTGTCAGCACAATTTATTTACATTTCAAAGTCACTATAATTATGAAATTACATATAATAGTAAATCTTACTGTACTAAAGTAAAAAAATGGTTACACTTTATTTTAAGGTGTCCTTGTTAGTGTAATTATACATTTAAGTACCGAGTAATATTAATGAACTACATGTACTTACTATATGGTTAGGGTTAGGATTAGGGTTTGGCTTGGGGTTACTTGCATGTAATTATGCATAATTTATTGTTATTATAATAGTAACTACATGTAACGTGTAACAAGAACACCTTAAAATAAAATGTTACCCAAAAAAAAAAAATCTGAAAACAATAGGCCTACTTTCAATTTGCACTTTAGTGTGTTCTTTTAAAGTATGTAATTTCCAAAATAAGTGCTCATTTTAAAAGTATGCTAATATGCACTTAATTTCTCACAAGAGTGGTGGTTATAGCTCCAGAGTTTTGCCAGTTCAGTAAGTCATGAACATCCACTCAAACAGCAGCAAATTGCAATGAAACCCTAACCCTCTGCTGCTGACCGGTGAGATGCATTAGATCTATGTAGGAAACATCTTGAATCAAAGTCAACATCTAGATCAACATCTCAGAGTACATGGGCACGTGCTGGTTTGGCATGTCTTATTACAGCTGCCTAGTCTTCTAGCTGTCTAGTCCCCGAGACACACTGCACGATTTTAGCAATCCTATAAGATCACTGCATGTCACACTGTCCGACATGGATCTAATCAACTTGGCTACGACATGCATGCAGACTGTACGATGATGACACCTATTGACTCGTAGGCTACGACGCATGTTACTATAAAAGAATAAAATGTCATCAGCATTGCGCTAGTGGTAAACAAAATCGTGCAGTGTGTTTAGAGCATTAGAGAAGGAATTCAGCCCCACACGCCTCAGTCTTAGATGGACAGCATCATCAAATGGAGAAGAATTTCTCGAATAACCTTCTGACTGCAATAGTTGCATTATGTTACAGAGCTGCATGGACACCGCCTTCATTTCCATATCGAGGCATCTTGCTAGGTGTTCTACATTAGGCCCTTTTTGCATTTTGCAGCGGAATCTTTATGGTGATGTCACGCAGTATCCCAGCACAACAGACAGGAGGAGTTATGCAAATCAGGCAGACTCTAAAATAGACCCAATATTAAAGGCGCAGTGCGAAACAGCCTTCCCTCACACAACACACCTCTGTACGCAACAATCAAACCACGCAGCTGACTAACCTGACCTCAAACCCAGGAGGCTAAAAGAATGAGAAATGAAACATGCTGAACAAAAAGCCTTCCGAACAGTTTCCCTGCGAACAGGCAACATTCTCAGAACTCTGTAAGATTCTCTTCAAAGTTATGAACACGTTCTTCCAATAATGTTAACAGACTTTCATTCAAAAGTTATCTGGTCTTTAAGAGCATCCTCAAACATCAGCACAAAAACATTTGTTTAGAGTATACATTGTGCATATACATATACACCAATGTTTTATTTGTATTTTTTCAAAAATTTTAGTTGGATGTTCATCTGCATTTTTATTAAACATAACTAACTTAACTACTTGTTTCAGAACGTTAAGAGAACATTCAGAATAACATTCCTATAACGTTTGCAAAATGATTTTAAAAATGTAACGTCCATTTAATGTTTTCTGTACACTCTAAAAAATGCTGGGTTAAAAAGGGACAAACCCAGCTATTGGGTTGTTTTGACCCAGGGGTTGGGTCAAAACAACCCAACCGCTGGGTCCAAACAACCCAACCGCTGGGTCCAAACAACCCAACCGCTGGGTCCAAACAACCCAACCGCTGGGTCCAAACAACCCAACCGCTGGGTCCAAACAACCCAACCGCTGGGTCCAAACAACCCAACCGCTGGGTCCAAACAACCCAACCGCTGGGTCCAAACAACCCAACCGCTGGGTCCAAACAACCCAACCGCTGGGTCCAAACAACCCAACCGCTGGGTCCAAACAACCCAACCTCTGTGTCCAAACAACCCAACCGCTGTGTCAAAACAACCCAACCGCTGGGTCCAAACAACCCAACCGCTGGGTCAAAACAACCCAACCGCTGGGTCAAAACACATTTTTATGTTGTTCCACATAAAAAAACAAACAAAACGTACTTGGCCGACAATTCATGAATTATGCTTGCAGGCAGCTATAGAAGATACTGACATTTCCACTTCAGCAAATAAATCACATGTGTTACAGCAAATAAAAGATGACTCTAAAATTACAACACACATAAGGAAATGGAATGTTCCACAGAAAACTTCCATTACTTCCCATTTTTAGGGCATTCCAGTACGAGTAATAGTAATAGTGAGTAATAATGCGACACTTTGCATTATTCCTTTAATGAACACAAGGGAAAGAGTCAACAGGAATGTTGGTCTGCAGTCAATAAGCAAACAGACCATTCACTTCCTTAATTCATGTTTCTGGTATTACTGTGCATGATTCATTGAGGCAAAAAATCCAATCAAGTCCTATATGTTATTTCCTCATCCTGATTTACTCTGAAATATGCCACATTATAAAAGTTATATCAACTATTTTTTTTTTCATTTTGACTAGAAACAAATCTTCAGTTCTGTATCCTGTGAGCTGGAGATCATGCTGATCAGGCACATGCACACATAGACATCAAAGGGGGC